ATGCAGACGCACGCGGAACTCGTGCTCAGCCAGGTGCCGCCTGCCTACTCTACTGGCGCCGAGATCACCGCGAACAACATGCAGATGAGTTACTCCATCCGCTTCGCCACCACCGAGATCGCCAGCGACGTTGTCCAGCAGCTGAAGGCTGGCGTTGTCCAGCAGCTGAAGGTCACGCTCAAGATGCAAGGCCGTTTGGACGCCAGCGCTGAGGCGGCCGACTGTGGCAATCCCTCATCAACTACATGAAGGAGAACAACGTCTGGCAGTTAGACTAAAGGTTTGGATGCAACTGACCGCGTGGGCTACTGTTTATCCTCTTCGGCCAAGACGACGTCGAAGTGCTGCGGCGAAGACAGCTACACGTTTGAGATGAAGTACGATAGCCTCCAGACGTTCGGGATCGATCGAGCTGCGGCTGACAAAATTGCAGCTTCCGCTCTCGAATAGGAGATCACACAGGTTGCAAGGGATTCCGGCATTTTGTCGAGCATGGCTCGGCCATGCAGGGCCCGCAGGAGGCGGCGCGTGGGGCGTGCTGCTTCTCCTACCTCAAATTTTGCTAGCAGCAGCTGTTCGTCCTCCTCCACGTCTTCTTCTTCCTCGTCCTCCGACTCCGATCCTGATGATAGACCTCGCCCTGACGGCTCCCGCGACCCCGATGCCCACTGCCCCCTACGTAATCGCAGGTAAGCTGTCTATTGGTTCTTGGAACATACGTCGGATGTTCAATGCGATTTGGTCCAACGACAATCTGCCCAATAAGACAATCGAATGTATAAAACGATTTGTTTCCCGTCATCATGTGTTTTTTATATTATTTTTTAAAAGAAACCAGGGGCTCCCAGAATGAACTCGACCTACTGGTGTGCGTGGCTTTGGTGTGCGTGGCTTTGGCACCTTCTTCGGATCCAAGGATGCAGGTGGCTGCGTCTCTTTCCGGAGCGAGGCTTTCTGTCGCAACGTTCTGCATGTGCGGCACGCTGTGGTCCGACGTGGCAGAGCCCATCAGGTTGCTCTCTGCAGCTCCCACGGGATCCTCCAAATCATGGACCTCCACGACGCCCCGACCATCCCCGTCCCTGCCCAAAAGGTCTTTCTATCTCAGGTCTCACGGGCTCTACTGCCACAGCGTCGTGCCCCCAGTTTTATCGCTGGCGACCGGAACTCTTGCGTTGAAGGCGAGGGCTCGCAGCGCGTGTCTGGCAGGCTGGTTCCGACGAAGCCCGACGTCGTGCGCCGTGCTGCTCGTCTGTTCTCGTGCTACGCCGAAGTGATGCAAGAGATGCCTACGCATCGTGTCGTTGAAGATGGCGTCCTCTTTTCGGTCACGCGACTAGATCGCATATTCTGTAGTATGTACACCGCCGAGCTCCTAGATTTGCAGCCCAGCACGATGGCCATTGGAGATGCCACCGACCGCACCTCGCTCACCGATCACATCCCCGTCTGTCTCGCCCTGGCGCCCAGAGGAGGAAGAAGAGGAGGAGGAGGAGGAGGAGGAGGAGGAGGAGGCGAGGAGGAGGAGGAGGAGGAGGAGGAGGAGGAGGAGGAGGAGGAGGAGGAGGAGGAGGAGGAGGAGGAAGGAGGAGGAGGAGGAGAGTGCGGCGAGGAGGATAGGTGAACGGAAGGGTCCCCACCCGATTCCGAGAAATTCGCGCGATACCTCCCGCATTTCTATGTTAATGATGTCATTGCCTGTTCCTCAGAGGACGGCCCCTCCGTGCCATCCCCCCTCCGTGCCTGAATTTGCTAGCCGGAGTGCCCCATGGTAGCCTGATTGCCGCTTGATCTCTTGCGGCCGCTGACAAAAAAGACGTGGTTCCCCGAGTGGAGGACGTCGGACTGGGTCAGGACCAGGATAGATTCGTTCCAGAGCGGTCCGGAACGCTCTCGGAGCGGTCCGGAGCGTTCTGAGAAGGCCGCGGCATCGGATAAATCTTCTTGTCCTCGTCCTGGTTTCGTCTTAGGACGGGCCGTGGCCGACGGGGCCGCCGCGAGCCTCGCGTCTCCTCCTCCGCCTCCTCCGCCTCCTCTTCGTAGTCATAGTCGTCGTCCTCCTCCTCCTCCTCTTTCCTCCTCCTTCTCCTCTTTCCTCCTTCTCCTCCTCCTCCTCCTCCTCCTCCTCCTCCTCCTCCTCCTCCTCCTCGTCCTCCCTCTCCCTCCTCCTAACGTCGACCCCAGGAGGTCCCTACCCATGGCCCAGGACGGGGTTCTCACCCCGGGTCGAAGTTTGACGGTCCCGAGCCGTGGAAAGGGCCCCGGGCGGCCGAAAGTGCAGTGAACATCGGAGACGCAAAAGCGCCACGTACATAAATGTTTGGCACTCCGCGCGGATCTCTTGGATCCGCGCTGCCCCACGCCCCACCTCCCGCGAGGCGAGGGCGCCGGCGAGGCGATCCGCGCTGGGCCCTCCCCCATGACTTCGCGCCCAACCCGAATTTCTCCTCGTCCTGGCTTCGCCTTAGGTCGGTATCGTTTCACCGATCCCCATCCCGATCCCGATCCCCCTCGAGACCCCCACAAAAGTACCGCCCCAATTGGGGATACACCCCTCGAAATCCGAAGGGACCGACCTGCATCCCCATGTATAGGGGGGAAATCGGCCCGTGGGGCCCAGGCCACGCCGCTGGGGATGCGGATCGGTCAAACGATGCTCATCCGGACGGGCCGTGGCCGACGGGCCCCCGCCCCTCCCGCGAGGCGAGGGCGCCGGCGGGCTGCGGCCGCGGCTCGCCGCCCCGCCGGCGGCCCTCGGAGGAGCGCCTCGGCGGCGCGCCGCGGCGCGGCCGTGGCCGTCGGCGGCGCGGCCACGGCGGCCGCGGCCGCCGCCGCCGTCGCCGTCGCCGTCGGCGTGGGCGTCGCCTTCGAGGTGGTGACCGTCGCCGTCGCCGTCGCCGTCGCCGTCGCCGTCGCCGTCGCCGTCGCCGTCGCCGTCGCCGTCGTCGTCGTCGTCGTCGTCGTCGTCGTCGCTCGGGGCGCGCTCTGCCGAGAGATCCGACGTCGCGAGTTTACTTTTCTCGGTGCGCGGTCCCCAGAAGTCTCGACGACCGGTTCTTCATCCCGAGCCGCTCTTTGGCGGTCCCGAGGCCCGGCGAGGGCCCTCCACGGGCCGACCCTTGCGAAGAACTGCCGTCTTGACTTCTCAGTGCGCTGGATCTCTGGGTGGGAGCGGTCCGTGGAGTATCGGCACGCGTGCAGCAGGCGCGCGCCGGCGGAGGGCCCCCGTGGGGCAGTGCCGTCCGCGGAAGGCTTCGGAGCGCCTCCGCGCCGTCCCTCGGCGCCTCGCCTCGTCGAGAGGAGGTCAGCCTGGGCGGTCCCCGGGCGGCCGTGCGTGGCGCAGCATCCACCGCGGCAGCGCCGCGGCGAGCGCCGCCTGCCTCCTCCCTTCTTCCCCTCCTCTCCTCCTCCTCCTCCTCCTCCTCCCCTCCTCCTCCTCCTCCTCCTCCTCCTCCTCCTCCTCCTCCTCCTCCTCCTCCTCCTCCTCCTCCCTCCTCCCTCCACCCTCCTCCCACCTACTGTCTCCCCCTCCCTCCCTTCCTCCTCCTCCTCCCTACTCCTTACCTCCTCACCTCCTCCCTCCTCCTCCTCCATCCTCCCTCCTCCACCCACCTACCCTCCTCCCTCCTCACCTCCTCCTCTCCGTCCTCCTCCTCCATCCTCCTCTCTCCTCCTCCCCTCCTCCTCCCTCTCCTCCCTCCTCCTCCTCCTCCTCCTCCTCCTCCTCTCCACCTCCTCCTCCTCCTGCTCCTGCTCCTGCTCCTCCTGCTCCTCTTCCTCCTCCTCGCGCCACCTCCTCCTCCTGCTTCCTCTCCGCAGCTCCGCTCCTCCTCCCTCCTCCGCCTCACTCCCCTCCTCCTCCTCTCCTCCTCCTGCTCCCACTCCTCCTCCTCTTCCGCGAGCGCGAGAGCGCGCCGCGAGCCGAGCCTCACACGCGTTCTCGCTGCCCTTCTCCTCCTCCTCCTCCTCCTCCTCCACTTTCCTCCTCCTCCTTCTTTCCTTCCTCCTTCTTCTTTCTTCCTCCTCCCTCCTCCTATCCTCCTCCTCTCCTCCTGCTCCTCCTCCTCCTCCTCCGCCTCCTCCTCTTCCTCCTCCTCCTCCTTTTCCTTCTCCTCTTCCACCTCCCCCTCGCTCTCCTCCTTCCCTCCTCCTTCCTCCACCTCTCCCCTCCTGCCGCGTCGGCGCCCCCTCCTCCCCTCCTTCCTCCCCCCTTGCTTGCCGCGTGCCGCGGGGGAGCCCGCGCCGCCGCGGCGCTCGCCGCCGCCGCCCGCAGCCATTGCGGCTTCGAGGGCCGCCGGCCGGGCGCGGCCCGTGCGCACCGGGGGGTGTGTCGCGCGCGAGCCTGCAGCGGCCGGCCTCCCCCGCGAGGGCGGGGGGGGCGTTTGGAGGCGGAGGAGGAGGATCGGAGCAGTGTCGCAGCAGCAGCAGTAGCAGTAGTTCTAGCAGTAGTTCTAGCAGCAGCAGTAGCAGTAGTTCTAGCAGTAGCAGCAGCAGTAGCAGTGGATGAGACCGTGCTCGCCGTGGTACGAGCGCAGGAGGATCGGAGCAGTGTCGCAGGCCTGGAGGTTGACACCAACACCAACATCGGCGGTGCGCTTCCACCGAGGGATGGCGATCCCGATCTCGGTGATGTTGATAATATTCGGGCTTCCTAGGTGGCCAGAAGATTACCACCACCAAAGTCTGGGATCATCTTCCCCAGGTGGAGGCGACCAGCCCCCCGTGTTGGTCTTGGTGCCCATGTCCAAGCCTCCAAGCTGTGTCGGAGCTCAAGAGACGGGGGTCAATGCATACGGGGGTCGGTCAGAGCGCCGGGTCTTGCAGGATCCTGCAGAGCCAGGGTCGCACTGACCTGGGTTTGGGTGCAGGATCTTGCAGGACGCTGCAAGATCTTGCAGGACCCTGCAAGGCCTGACTGACCCGGGTTTGGATTGGCCTGGGCAAGTGGATCCCCGACAGTGGCGCCCCGACTTGCGACTGCACGGAAAAGGGACCGTTCGCTTGAGTGACTTCTGGTGCGGGCCCGAGGGGGTCACCTTGTCGCTGAGCGCGAAGCGGTAGCGGTGTCTTGCGCGCGTGGTTTTGGCCCCATTCGACCCCCCCTCAGGCCGCGCACCAAAGGTCGGTCAGAGGCCTCTGAGATGCCTTTGGGGATCTCTTTGGAGGCCTCTTGGATTCGGTCTTAGGGTGTCTTGGGAGCCTCTCGGGGGTCATTTAGGGGCCTCTTGGGGACTCTTGCAGTTTGTGGGGGGCCTCTTGGGGGCCTGCTGGCGGTCTCGGGGCCCATTTTGCGGCGAAGGGCTAGAAATGTCGGTTCGTGCCCCTCTGTGGCCCTCTTGGACCGTCTTGGACCTGTTCTCTTGGGCCCCTCTTGCAGCTCTATGGTGCCGTCTTGGGGCCCTTTTGGACCGTCTTGGGCGGGGCCATCTCCGTCCGTCGAGGGCGTCTGAGGGCGCCCTTGGGGTCTTAGGCCGTCTAGGGGCGACCTTGGGAGCAATTCGGTCTGTTTTGGAGCGTCGAAGTCGGAAAGGCGAGACCACTAGTTTCCTTTACTCCGGATTTCGTAATAAAAGGGAGGGGGTCTCAACCCTCCCAGACGAGAAGTTTTAGACCCCCCCCGTGGGAGAACCCTCCAAAACATCGTCCCCAGACCCCCCCAGGCCCTCCAAGATAGCCTGGAAGAACCCCCCCCCCGAAAAGACCCCCCTCCCTTTATTACAAAATCTGGAGTACTCAAAGACCTCAGAAGACATCACCGATTTCAGCATCCCGGGGCCCTCTTGGGGGGGCCTCTTGGGGCCCTCTTGGAGCGCCTCGGGGGCCTCGGGGGCCGTCTGTGGGCCATCCTGGGCGTATTGGATCGTCGTCGGGCCGTCTTCGAGGCCTTCTGCGCCCTCTTGGTCGCTTCTCTGGCACCTCTGGTCCCGACGTGGGGCCCTGAGCCTCTCCGCAGCAGTCCTGCGGGGAGGCCCGAGAACGCGCAGAGACGCCAGGACGAAGGGAGATCTTGGTTGCAGTTTGAATACTGAGTAATTGCAGAGAGCTCTAGAAGCCTGGAGAACGCTCGCCTTCGTGCCTCGAGGCACGGTGGCGGATCATGAAACACATCCCCTGTCCTCACTCATCGTTCTCTTCCCCCTTCCGTGTGAAACGCCCTGACAACAAAGCTTTGAACCATCTCCGAAGGCCCTTAGACCTCCCTGACCCCACCATTGGGCGAGGATGGGACGGGCGAAAGTGCGTCAGAAGGGGTAGACGGACGAGGCAGATAAGGAGGAGGAGGAGGAGGAGGAGGAGGAGGAGGAGGAGGAGGAGACGAACGAGGTAGAAGAGGAGGCAGGATACGGAAAGGATTGGCGCAGAGCATTGGAAAGAAGCGTGGAGAAGAAGAGGCGGTGGAGGATGGAGGAGGAGATGGATGCGGAGGAGGAGGAGGACGACAAGGATGAGCGTGAGGATTAGGATGAGGATGAGGTTGAGGATGAGAATGATGATGATGATGGTGATGATGGTGATTCTGCGTATGACGAGGATGCTGATTCTTGATGCTGATGATGATGATGATGCTGATGATGATGATGATGATGATGATGATGATGATGATGATGATGATGATGATGATGATGATGATGATGATGATGATGCTGCTGATGCTCATGCTCATGCTCATGCTGCTGTTGATGCTTCTACTACTGGCGGTGCTGATGATTACGATGATGACGATGATGGTGGTGGTGATGATGACAATGATGACGATGATGACGATTACTATGTTGATGATGATGACGATGATGGTGATGCTGATGCTGCTGGTTATGATGTTGCAGCTGGTGTTGATGAGGACGATAACGATGATGCAGCCTGTGATGATGGTGAATGATGCTGGCGATGGTGATGATGATGACGGTGATGAGGATGATGTTGATGATGATGGTGGTGGTTGTGGTGGTGATGTTACTGCTGCTGCTGATGATGCTGCTGCTGATGCTGATGCTGTATCTCCTGATGCTGGTGATGATAATGCTGCTGATGCTGCTGATTATTGTGATGCTGCTGATGAGGGTGATGATGGTGAGCAGGAGGATGCTGCTCATGCATCTAGTGCTGATGCTGATGACGGTGACGATGCTTATGATGATGATGCTGATGCTGATGCTGCTGATGAGGATGAGTATGCTGCTGATTATGATGAGGATGATGATGATGCTGATGATGAAGACGATGATGAAGAAGATGCTGATGATGATGCTGCTGATGGTGATGATGATGCTGATGCTGATGATGTTGATGATGATGATGCAGCTGCTGCTGCTGCTTCTGCTGACGATGATGATGCTGCTGCTGATGCTGATGGGTATGGTGAGGTGATGATGATGCTTATGATGATGCTGCAGATGATCGAGCAGTTCGGACGTTGCTTGGTGACGATTGTAGCTGATACAGCACGCTCGTGATATCCATGTGTGTGGTGTGCGAGTGCTTGGGTGTACGTGGTTAACTTTCAAGTGCATGTAGTGCCTTTTTCCATCTTCCAACCACAGACAAAACTATCCTCTCGACCTCCTTCCACATAAGCAATGTCAGGCCGATGTAGATTTTGATGTGAATGCTGCAGCACGAAGGGCGCTCGGATCCAATCGAAGGCACTCATGACCTGGTTCCGAATCTCTCTCAGACAGAAAATGCCCCCCCCCCCCTGCATCTTGCCACTGTTTGACATACTTTTCGGTGCCACTGAGCCCTCTGTACATATCGAGGTCCGTGGCGAATTGACGTGCCCAGGTATTAGCATCCAGGCGAAGACGCCCGTCGGAATGCAACGTGTTACGTTCCCCCTCAAAGTGGCCGAGCAGAGCGGTCAAGGTTGATTTGTTGGCTTGGCGGTAGCGGCGCATCTGTTGTAGCCAGCGGGTCCGACGAACGGCTAGATCTCCTCGAGATGGTAGTATTCTCCATTCTCTGATGAGCTCCAATGTACGCATTGTTTTGACGTGGGGGCCCGTCCAAGCTGTGGCAGATCCACGCATCAATACTCCTTCGGTACTTGGCTACCGTCGAGTCGATACGCGCATGCTCCGACAATCGTAACACGTAAGCCTCCTACTCAGTAAGTCCGTTCCCCACGATCTCCCCAAGATAAACTTCACGGTTAAGACGTCTCAGCCCGTGCTCACTCCCTACCCAAGAGTGCCCACCCCCGTTGCATAGCATGAATACGATAATCCGCTTCGGTCGTGTTGTGCCCGCGCATGCTGTATCGCGCACCAAGGTGTAGAGCATGAGGCCGAACACCTCCACAGTCCGAAGGGCAAAGTTGTTGAAGCTGTTTGAGAGGTCAATCGGAGCAAACATAGGGAACAACATCTGTTTTACGCATGTTCTGTGTGAGCTCCCAGTGGCCTGGTGACCTGTTCATGTCCTGGTCGCCTGCTAAGACCTGTGCGAGCTCTCCCTGAGCATCAGTAACATTATAGAAGCCGCTTGCGAAGCATATCATCCGCATAGCCAACTAAAGAACAGTGTATATTGCCCAACTCGCCTACTTCGCACTTGAAGTTGAGGGGAGTGTGCGTGGGGCCCCTCCATTTCGAAAAGGACTACGCTATGTATTATGCGCTGTTCAGCAAGTGAAATGAGGATCGTCTCGAATCATGCGGGGGTAAAATTGTCGTAGCGCATCTTGGATAGGGTTAGGGCACATGAGGGCATTCTTGGAGTCATGACGTTGGTTGGATCGAGGAATCTGAAGTCGACTTGAGGTCTATCATACATGTTGTTGCATTAAGGAAGCACCTTCACGCCGCTGGTGAGGTAAAAAACCGTGCCGTCGTTTGGAGAAGGTCCGGCCATAGCCTTGCTTTCTGTTGCCCCAGGGAGGGAGGAGGGAGGGGGGAGGTAGGAGGGAAGGAGGAGGAGGAGTGGAGGAGGAGGAGAGGAGGAGGGAGGAGGAGGACGGAGAGGAGGGGAGGAGGAGGAGGAGGAGGAGGAGGAGGTGGGGGAGAGGAGAGGGAGGAGGAGGAGGAAGAGGAGGAAGGGAGGAGCAAAGAGGAGAGCAAGGAGGAGGAGAGGGAGGAAGAAGAGGAGGAGGGGGGGGGAGAGAGGAGAGAGGAGCAGGAGGAGGAGAGAGAGGGATAGAGGAGAGGAGGGAGGGAGGAGGGAGTCGGAGGGAGGCGGGAGGAGGAGGGAGGAGGGAGGAGAGAGGAGGGAGGAGAAAGGAGGAGGGAGGAGGGAGGAGGGAGGAAGGAGGAGGGAGGAGGGAGGAGGAGGAGGCAGAGGCGGAGGAGGCGGAGGCGGAGGAGGCGGAGGAGGAGGAGGAGGAGGAGGAGGAGGGAGTCGGCGCGCCATGTGGCTGCTGCTGGTGCCCCGCCGCAGCGCCCTCTCGCGCACCGGGCGCCAGCTCGCCACGCTCTGCGCGGGTCGCGTCGTCGTCGTCGTCGGCGTCGTCGGCGTCGTCGCCGTCGTGGTCGTCGTCGTCGTCGTCGTCGTCGTCGTCGTCGTCGTCGTCGTCGTCGGTGTCGTCGTTGTCGTCGTGGTCGCCGTTCGCCGTCGTGGTCGTCGTCGCCGTTCGCCGTCGCCGTCGCCGTCGCTGTCGCCGTCGACGTCGCCGTCGCCGTCGCTGTCGTCGTCGACGTCGTCGTCCTCGCCGTCTCCGTCGTCGTCGTCGTCGTCGCCGTCGTCGTCGCCGTCGCCGTGGTGGTCGTCGTCGCTGTCGTCGTCGAGGTTCCTTGAGGATGGTGAGTTTTTCCAGGGCATCCGCATTCTTCCCTGAGAAGAATGAAGAGGGGCTTCGGCGGCGTCGTCGCCGCCCTTGGCGTCGTCGTCGCGCAGGTCGTCGCTGCGGTGGTCGTCGTCCTCGTCGTCGCCCTTGGTCGTCATTGTCGCCCTGATCGGTCCTGGTCGCCGTCGTCGTCGGCTGAGGAGGAGGAGGAGGAGGAGGAGGAGGAGGAGGAAGAGGATGAGGAGGTATAGTAGGAGGAGAGTTGGCAGCATTCGAGGGACCTGATCATTCCCCTCCAACCCCCCCTGTCTTTTCTGCGCCGGTCATCTCTCCGGCCCTCCTTTCTCTGTCCTCGGGGATGGAGAAAGAAGAAGCGGAAAGATGATGAGAGCAGAGGAGACCCCTGTCATCATTCCTCTGCGCCCAGTCGTCATCCTCCATCCTCTCTCCTCCACTTCCTCCTCCAGCCTTCCCTGAGGTCAGACGTCATGAGAAGACGCAACGTCGTGAGCACAGTCACGTCCAGAGCTCCTGACCCCATCTTTCTGCCGCACTCATCGAGCTGGGTTGATCCGTGAGGCGCCACAGAGTCCGAGACGGGACGGGGATGCCTGTTGTCTCTGTAGCCGAACGGTCAGTTCTGAAGATTGATTGGTGTTGATCCTTTTCGTCTGGTGCGCATGCAGTTTGTTCGAGCGACGTGCCCCTTCGGCTCTCGCGCCCAGATTTTATCAGGGACAGTCTTCAGGCTCCACATGCGGTGTTGGGCCCCTGGACTACCACAGCAACAACGGCTTCCGCCTGAGAGCCCCCTCCAGATAGCCCAGAAACCGCGCTGTCGCCGGGCACCCCTTCGCGATTTACTCCAGAACCGCGCTCTTGCTTGGGACTTTCTCAGAACCTGTTCTCGAATCGCGCTCTCGCCCTGGGCCTCCTCGCATTTGGACAAGGAATCGCGCTCTCGCCACTCAGGAATGGCACTCTCGCCCAGTATCTCGCCAGAAGAACTGCTCAGGAACTGCACTCGACCGAGGCTTCCCGAAGATTCCTCCAGGAGTCGCGCTCTCATGTCCCGGCCCGACCCGCCCGCCAGGGTCCGCTCGCCTCGGGGGCGGCAAAGAGAGGGGTGATGACTAGGGGGGGGATATCATGGCGGGGGCCATGATATCTCTCCAGCTTCCATGGCGCCTCTTCTTATTGCGCAGGCCTTACGGCCGGTGCCTCCGACCCTGAAGATGAGGACGCTGATCACGACGAGGTAGAAGGAGGAGAAGTAGGACGAGCAGGGGGAGGAGCCGCATGAGGAGGAGGAGGAGGAGGAGGAGGAGGAGGAGGAGGAGGAGGAGGAGGAGGAGGAGGAGGGTCAGGAGGACGGGGAGGAGGAGGTGGAGGCAGAGGTTCAGGGCCGCGCACGTGCCGCCGGCCACGATTTGCGCCTCCCCCCCTCTTGAATCCGGAGGGCTCCAAAGGGGGTTTTCGGGGAGGGGGTCTTCCAGGAGGGGCCCCCCAGGGGCTTCGCGCCCTCTGCTCTGACGAGGCTCCGAGGCCCCCGGGAGGGGCTCTCAGGAGAGCCCCCTCCCCCCAAAAACCCTCCTTTTGGGAACCCTCATGCTGTGGAGGCCTGCCCTCGGAGATCTTCTGGCCCGGGTCCATCCAGACCCGGGCCAGTCAGGCCCTGCAGAATCTTGCAAGATCCTGCGAGCCCAGAGATCCAACGCATGAAACAAATCAAGACGGCGGTCTTTCGCAAATTTCGGCCCCTAATTAGGGTCCCTCGCCGGGCCTCGGGACCGTCAACAAAACGACTCAGGATGAAGAACCCGTCCGGGAGGATGGGTCGAGACTTCCAGGGACCGCGCATTGACAAAAGATCACGACATGGGATCTCTGGGAGATCCTGCGCCCAAGCCCGGGTCCATGCGCAGGATCCTGCAAGATCCTCTTGAAGCCCCTTTTTCGGGGGCGGCAAAGAGGTTGGTGATGACTGGGGGGGGGTGGATATCATGGCGTGGGCCATGATATATCCCCAGATTTCATGGCGCCTCTTCTTATTTTATTACGTCCCTGGTCCCCCCCCTGGGCCGCGCACATGCCGCTGGCCATGAGTTGCACCCCCCCCTCTCGGACGCCCCCCTCTCGGCCGCTCCTGACTCTTGGCACCCTCCGGCCAGTGAGCGCCCCCCTCCTCGAGGAGGGGGGCGCTCACCCGGCCCTCCTCGAGGAGGAGGAGGAGCGCCCCCCTCCTCGAGGAGGTGGGCGAGCGCCCACTCCTCGGGTCGGGGGGGCCCGACAGGCCCCCCCCGACCCGGCCCCGTCCGCTCCGAGGCCCCGCCCGCCCGCCCCCCGTGCCGCCCCGCCGGGGCCCCCCTCCGCCCGGCCTGCCCTCTGGAGGGGGCCGCCCGCCCGCGCGGCTGCGCCGCCCGGTCTCGGGGGGCGGCCAGGAGGGGGGGCGACGGCTGGGGGAGGGGGGGGGGGATAGCATGGCGTGGGCCACGAGAGGCCCCCGGATGGCATGGCGCCTCTGCTTCTCTCACTGCGTCCCTGGGCCGCGCACGTGCCGCCAGCCATGCTGTGCCCCCCCCCCCCCCACCCCACCACCCCCCACTTGGACGCCCCCCTCTTGGCCGACCCCGAGCCTTGTCAGCTCGGGGCTTACCCTGAAGTTGGCATGAGAAGAAGCGCCCCCTTGAAGCGAGCGCGTGCATGCGAGGTCGGGAGCCGAGGGCCGGGGGGCGGGCGGGGGGACACGCGAGCAGTCAAGAGCGAACCGTCTCAACATGACCGCTGATGCAAGAGCGCCCAACATCGGGAGATGGATCCATGCTTGGCTCGGATCAGCCCTGGAAGCCCTGCCGGACCCCATCCCGGCGAACAAGCCGAGGTGCCTCGGGTCGTGGCCAAGATGGGCCGCCCCGAAGGCCAACAAGAACGGTAACTCAAACTTCGGAGGGTTGGCGTCCGTTGCCACCCACAATGCCCAGTCCTCGATCCTCGATGTTTGTTCTTTCCTCACTTGTCCTTGGGCGCGTTCTGACCATAATTTCGAGTCGGAACCAGCCGTGACGACGAGGGCAACCCCGGGTGTTGTCCAGGAGGCATAGGAGGACCAGGAGGAGGCGGATGACTCGGAAGAGGAGGGATGCAGTCAGGAGGAGGAGGAGGGGGAGGATCAGGATGTGGATGCGGAGGAGGAGGAGGAGGAGGAGGAGGAGGAGGAGGGGAGGAGGCGGAGGGCGGAGGAGGCGGAGGCGGAGGCGGAGGCGGAGGCGGAGGCGGAGGCGGAGGCGGAGGCGGAGGAGAAGAAGGAGGAGGAGGAGGAGGAAGAGGAGGGCGGAGGATGGGAGAGGAATGAGGAGGATGAGCAGGAGAAGCAGGGGAAGAGGACCCGATTTGAGAGGAGAAGGAGGAGGAGGAGGAGGAGGAGGAGGAGGAGGAGAAGCTCCATGATTGCTGCCGATGATGCTGATGCTAATGTTGTTGTTGTTGATGATGATGATGATGATGATGATGATGATGATGATGATGATGATGATAATGCTGACGATGCTGATGATGATGGTGACAATGATGATAATGATGATGTTGATGACGATGACGATGATGATAACGATGATGATGACGATGATGCTGCTGATGCTGATGCAGATGATGGTGATGGTGCTGATGATGCTGATGCCGATGCTGATGCTGATGACGATGATGATGATTATGATTGTGGTGATGATGACGATGATGATGATGATGGTGATGATGATGACATGAGGATGGTGAGGAGAATGAGGATGAGGATGATGATGGTGATGGTGAGGATGACGATGCTGATCATGATGATGATGTTCATGCTGGTGCTGACGGCTATTAGGATGATCATGCTGCTGCTGATGTGTATGATGATGGTGATAATGCTGATGACGATGTTGTTGATGATGATGGCGATGATGGTGATGATGGTGATGATGATGATGATGATGATGATGATGATGATGATGATGATGATGATGATGACAGTGATGATGACAGTGATGATGACAGTGATGATGGTGATGATATAATGGCGATCTGATGATGATGCTGATGCTGGTGCTGATGAGGCTGATGATGATGCTGCTGATGCTGCTTCTGATGATGATAACGATGATGATGCTGCTGATGCTGATGCTGATGCTGGTGCTGATTCTGATGCTGATGCTGATGATGATGCTGATGCTGATCATGTTGATGATGCTGATAATGATGATGACGAGGATGCTGATGCTGATGCTGATGAAGATTATGATAATGACGATGAGGGCGGCGACGACTACGATGGTGACGATGATGATGGTGATGCTCATGAGAATGATGATGTCGATGATGATGAGGATAGTGGTGATGACGATGGTGGTGGTGGTGGTGGAGGTGATGGCGATGATGATGATGATGATGGTGATGTTGCAGATGATGATGCTGATGATAACGATGGTGATGCTGATAAGATGATGATTATGATGGTGATGTCGATGTGCTGCTGTCGCTGATGATGATGCCAATGATGATGATGATGATGATGATGATGATGATGATGATGATGAGGAGGAGGAGGATGAGGAGGAGGAGAGGAGAGGAGGAGGAGGAAGGAGGAGGAGGAGGGAGAGAAGGAGGAGGAGGATGAGGATAAAGATGAGGATGAGCATAGTGATGGTTACTGTGTTGGTGGTG